CACACACAAACACATATGTGATCATAGGCTTCATGGCTCCTGAGAATGTTTGGAGTTCCCCAGTCCATGCAGATTCATGACCACACACACAGATACACACACAGATACACAGAGATACATATACATAGCACACTTACACACACATATGCACACATACACACATGCTTATGCACATAACATACATTTACACACACAGAAGAACAAACAAATCTGTCCTGGAAGAAGTTTAGCCAGAATGCTCCTAAGAAGTGGGAATGGCCAGACTTTGTCTCATACTCTGGTCATGTTGTCAGAAGGAACCAGTCCCTGGAGGGGATGCCATGCTTGGTAAAGTGGAGGGTCAGTGAGAAGGCGGAAGGCCCTCAACGGGAAGGACTGTGAGGGTGTGCGGGACCAGCAGCGTTTCGTTGTGTCATACACAGGGTCACTACAAATTAGAACGAACTCATACACATACACAGACATGTAGGGACACACACAACTTACACATGTGTGCACATGTACACACATGCATATACACACAGCACAACTTAGCCACATATGTACACACACATGTACAGATACACACAGCACAAATTATACATGTATGCACATATATACACATACAGGTACACACAGCACAACTCACACATGTGCACACATACACGTATACAGGTACACACAGCACATCTTACCCATTTATACACACATACATGCACCAACACTACACATATATACACACATACATGTAGTCACACATCACATATCCGTGTGGTACCCCACCCCCATAGCCCCAGAATCCTGGGCCCTATTGAACTTTCTCTAGGGTATCTGGGGCCCACCAGTGCCTGCCTGGTCCAGCTCCAGCCCCAAAGTTGCAAAGGGGTGGGTTAGGCAGTAATGGGCCTCTGTGCCATTACCCAGCTGGTATCACCCAGCCTGGCATCCTGTCACACGTGTGAGGGCTTGACCATATCAGGAGACCACATCATCTTCCCCCTGCTCGTGTCTGATCTTATCCGTACATTGCTACTGCCCTCCCCCAGCCCCGACTGTCATCTGGATGATTGGGGCCAGCTCTAGTATCTGGCCAGGCCCTGCCCCAAAACAGGGATTCTCTAGACACCCAGGGAAGAACAAGGCAGCCTGCTTCATTAGGGGATGGGATGTGAG